TGTGAAAAGGAAAAATGTGATTTTAAGCATTATTTAATTAATGGATTATACCAATTTCCATAATCTATAATCACACCAGTTTTCAACACAAAGCTTGCAACTAGGAATGAATTTTACATTTTAAGCAAGTTTCATAAAAAACAAAACAAATGTTTCACATACCTGTGTGACCTGCAAAACCTAACATATTTACCAAGTAGCAGTTTGTAGACCCCAGTCTTTCACAAACAGGAACTTTTTTTTTTTTTTTTTTTTTTTAATGCCTTGAGAACTGGCTTTGAGAAAGGTTAAGAAAATGCACTTTCATTTTTGAAGAGAAATACTTTTTTTTTTTAAACTTCAATTAGTTGCAGTGAATTTGACTCAGTTTGACATTTATTTAGGGCCCACAATGTGCACCACATTTTGACATTTAAAAATTAGATTTACCTCTAAGGCATAAAAATTATTAAAATCCAGGTAAAAAAATCTAGTGTTAGGAAAATTGTTCAATGCTAAGGGTCAAAAATGGAGGTGGGTGTTCTTGGGTTTGCAGAGGTAAAACATACAACCTGGAAGGCCAGGGAAGATTTCCATACTCCAAGCAAGTGGGGAACACAGGGAAGTATGCCACAGGAGGAAGGCAGCAGCAAATAGCTTATTTCTCACAATGTTAAAGGTATCAATTCTGGATCCTTGGGTCTATAGACCACGGAAACAAAACTAGGCCAAGACAAGGGTCTAGAACAGGCAAGCCTTTATTTTGTTTACGGGGGACTTCTGCTTGAGCCAGAAGGGAGACCACACTGACAGAGTATCTAGCTGGTATGAGCAAAGGACAAAGGAGTGCAACATTTACAGCATGCAGGCTAGCAAGATCCCAGGCTCTGAGGTCATCACATGTACAGGAGGGATTGTGGTGTGCTCACATCATTCTTCATCAGGCTTCCACACACATGCCACGTCTCATTATCATCTTAGTCTCCACCTAGGGGTGTGCTTTGCTATGCTAAGGTACAGCTGACCGTGAGTAATGTCAGATATTCTTTTTTTGGATACTAGGGTTTGAACCAGAGGTGCTTAGCCACTGAGCCATATCTCCTCTTTTTAAAAGTTGAGACAGGGTCTTGCTAAGTTGCAGTGCCTTGCTAAATTGGAGACTGGCTTTGAACTTGCGATCTGTCTTCCTCCACCTCTCAAACTTCTGGGATTACAGGTGTGCACCCCTGCACGCAGCTTCAGTGACTATTCTACACATGCATTTACTTCTTGCCATCTGGAATTTATTCTCCTTATCATTTGGGAGTCTCCAATATTATTTCCAGAGTGCAGACCATTGTCCCATCCCAGTGGGACCAAGTTGACAGAACTTTTTGATTCACTCCCATTTTTGGCATGTCTGCTGATCACATGGTCTCATATATTGAGCTGACTTCCCAATCTCCCATCTCCAGGATAATATTAATTTTTAGTCTTGACCATTTCACTTAAGTCCTAAGTCTCTACCATGTCTGCAAATCCTGTAAAGTTGAACTAGTTTGGTTGTCACATTCCCTTCTATTTCATTCCCTTAATCTTAGGGATGCTTAAGTTTTTCATCAGGGATAGGGGGTCTGCTTCAGTAAGTGTGTAGTGGTTTTTGCAGTGAGTAAACAGTGAAGAGGGACGCTGGGTCCTCCTCCAGGTACTTTGGAAACAATATGTATTTGGGAAAGCTGAAGATAAATGTCATCTTTCTCCAGAGTCACATGGTCTGTCTTCAAGGTACAGTGGCTTCTCTTATGCTATCTGCATAATTCTCCTTGCCTCTTTGAATCCTACTCCTGTTTTCTGCCCACCTGGCTAGAAGGAGAGTCCTAACCTTGAAACATCTGTGCCTATCCGGGGCACTACTTCAGTTAGGTGCAGGCCTGTCTTGCTTGGGTTTCACTGACAGGAAATCTATATATTGCCATACATCTAGTTCTTGCACTGCCCCACTGGTGGAGGCCAGAGTGTGCAAGCAAGGGCAGGGATATGAGATTTGGAGAATAACAGAAATATACCGCTGAAGCCAGAATTAGAAGGCAGTCAGTGTAGATAGGTAAATCAAGTCAGGTCGGTCAAGGAGGACAATTTTGAGTGAGTCTGGGAAGTTGGAGACTGTCCCCTGAGGGATCTTATCAAGAACCTGCCCCTGCTCCAACCTGTTGCCAAGGTAACCTGTCCCAGGAATTTCCCCTCTACAGGGAGCTAGAAGATTGTTAATCTGTCTACTCCATCCTGCCCTTCCCCCTACAACCCACCTATTTTCCACTTTTTGTCCATCCCAGGGAGCACTGTACACAGGAAGGAGAAAGATAAGGGGGAAAAGCAGGAGAACAAAGGAAGCCTAGGACATATAAAAAGGGCAGAATACCTCACTTCTGGGAATACCATGTTACCAGGGGTATGGCCCCCTTCTCCTTCGTGGGAGAAGTCTATGTTACCCCTTTTTAAATAAACCCTGCTTCATATGCTTGCCTCTGCATGCTTCTCTAATGTTCAAACTCAACATGTGGGGAAGCAGGACTCATCACCAGTAACCAGCGGTATGACAGCTGCCTTATTTGGAAGGGCTGTTTTCACCTGACTTTTCCAACCTGGAAGTCAGAACAAGATTGGTGAGGTCTGGATGTGTGTTAGGGGACAGACAGATGAGCATGTAGAAAACTCGAGGTTAAGAGAATAATTCTATAAAATGGGCCCACCTGATCTCCGTTTTCTGTGTAGTGGTTTTTGCTGTAAGTATAAAAGCAATTGGTCAAAAAGCAATTCACCTGCAACCCTACTTGGCCTGCAGGCCTAAGCCTGCACATTCCTCAGCAAACTGAGGGAGGACCAAAGGTCATGAATGATGGAGGCTGAGAAAGCATGACCACTGGTAATCAAAGAGAACAACTGCTTGTTAACTCCCATACAATTGGGCTCCTCCAGGAACTCTGGATTGCCAACAATGTACCTCTGCGCCCATGCTCCCAGTCACATATATGGAGAATTAAAGGGGTTTCTAGGATCTGTAAGAAAGCAACATATACGATGGTGTGAGGGGGAAGGGAAGGGAAGGGAAAAAAAAGAGAGAGAGAGAGAGATAAGTGTCACAGTAGTGTGG